AATAAGCGATTACTCGCTTAAGTTTTCGGTATGTTGAGAATCTCGTTAAGACACTCGAAGTTTCGCTTGCTTTCAGCGCCACCGTTGTTGTTTTTAACTCCGGCAACTCCTCTTCTGGTTTCTTCATGTTGAGCGGCCATTTACTTCCGTCCGTCAGCCAGTGCGGACCATGCCACCATAGCTCACTTTCAGCTAACACCTCGGTACTGACTCCTCTTGACAGTAAATCAGCCGGATTCTCGTTTGTTGGCACATGATACCAAGAGATGTTCTTCGTAATGTCTTGAATTTTGGAGGCACGGTTCGCTACGAATGTATTCAATTTATTCGGCGGAGTCTTTATCCATCCAAGTACGACCGTTGAATCGCTCCACAATCTTGTATTTCTGATTTGCTCCCCATACGCCTTCTTCGCAACGGCCCACAGACGTGAGAGCAGAAGAGCTGCTTCCAGCTCTAATCGTGGAATGGAAACCGTTTTGAGTGGCGCCACTCTTGCCTTTGCACAGATAAGGTGGGAGTGTGCAATTCCTCGCTTATCTCTGCTCACCGCATATATGCAAGCACCGTACGCTCGCTTGGAGGCATCTCCGAATCCGTATATGTCAAATTGTCCTAAGTTATTTGCAGGCACCACGTTCCGGGGTATCTGAAGCGCATTGATTCTCACCAGCGACTTGTAGTGCTCCTCCCATGCAGTTGAGAGCTCTTGAGGAATCGGCTGGTCCCATCCGAGCTCCCTTATCCACAGTCCTTGCATGATTATCTTCCCGTTTATTAACGTCGGTGCCATAAGTCCGAGCGGGTCAAAAATCTGAGCTAATTTTGATAGTACGATCCTCTTCGTTATCCATCGTGTTTCTTCTTGTCGAACGGATCGAGGAGGTTTGGAACGCCAGTGTAAATACACAGTAGTATATTTCGGTAAAGCCAAGTACAAGAGGATAAATATCTACGTGCGTTCGCGTTCGCGTATACAATACAGGTGATCCGTCGATCGAGAAGCCTCAGGCTTCTCTTCCCTCTTTCGTGGGCAAAATCGCGCATGCGTTGATCTCTCACAGTTGCCGTCTCCTCGCGCACAATTGCTATATTCTTTTCACTCCGCCTCAATTTGCGCAACAAAACAAAAAATTTCTCTACAAAAAAAATTAATACAAATCTAGTGTATCTTAAAGTCTCTATACTTTATAAGTCACACTCAATTTCTCACACATTGTTGTAAATTTATCTCCGCCTAACGCTTTAGTCATTATATCAGCTGTTTGATCGTTAGTTGGCACATATTGAACTTTAATCATATTAGTTTCTACTAATTCCTTTACAAAGTTGTATTTAATATCAATGTGTTTTAAACGTTTATGCTCCCAACGTTTCAAACAGTGAATCACAGACTGATTGTCTTCAAAGATTAGAATTGGAGTCGCATTCTTTACATCGAATTCCCTCAACAAATTTAACAACCAAAGATATTCATTTGAGCAATGAGCATTTGAGCTAACGCCACATACTCCGCTTCGGTTGACGACTGGGCCACGGTGTTTTGTTTTCTTGTCCCCCAGGAGATAGTATTCCCGTATAATTGAAAAACAAACCCCGAAGTTGACTTTCTGTTTTCTCCGTTACCCCAATCGGCATCCGCAAAACCTACAAGTGAAGGACTTATATCTAGATTACCCTTTTTATAAAACAAACCGTAATCTAAAGTCCCTTGAATATAACGCAATATTCTTTTCAAACCCTTCCAATGCTTTTCTAAAGGATCATTTTGAAATCTACTCAGGTAATTTACCGCAAAGCTAATATCTGGTCTAGTAGTTTGCGTAAGATACATTAGACATCCCACTAGTTCGCGATATGGATACTTTTCTTTCATTCTCTCTTTACTCTCTTCTCTCCCGAAATTAATTTCCATCGGTGTACGTATTGGCTTACAATCGCTCATACCAAATTTCGCCAGCAGTTTACGAAGATAGGAGCCTTGTGTCAAGTAAATACCGTCGCGAGTCCTGGTAATATCAATACCCAGGAATGTGTTTACCTCTCCCAAGTTTTTCATTAGAAATCTTTCCGTCAAAGCCGATTCTATCGCTTGGACTTTCCTTTCGTTGTTACCCGTAATTAGAATGTCGTCCACGTACAATAATAAGTAAACATAGTCATTCCCGAAAATTCCTAGGTACAAACAGCTATCGGCAACAGAGTTTTTCAAGCCTAAAGTCTGCATGAAAGTATTGAAGGTCCCATACCAGGCACGAGGAGCCTGTTTCAAACCATACAAAGCCCTGTTTAATTTACAAACCTCGTTACCCTTCGATTTAATCCCTTCAGGCACCCTCATGTAGACTTCTTCGCTGAGTTTACTATTAAGAAACGCGTTTTTCACGTCCAGCTGACTTACTTTTAAATTCCGCGCATTTACCACACTCAACAACACACGCAAGGTCGTAAAGGCCATTCTACAATTGCGTAAACGTAGTTGCAGGGTTGTAGGAGTAGAAGTAGTAGTAAGTGTTGTACATCAAAATAATATACAATAGAGTGAGATACGTCGTAATTGAAGTGAATGATTGGTTAGCTTTTACGTCTTACATCGTTGTAGTCGTGAAAGATGAAGCTCAGCCATCTTTTACAACAGGCTTTACAATCGGAAATGCTAGTTTAAAACTGTGTTTTACAACACTGTACAACCGATAACAACCACGTTTACGCAATTGTAGAATGGCCTTAAGACGTGCCACCGGCGCGTATGTCTCATTAAAGTCAAATCCGGGTCGTTGCGAGCAACCTTTTATCACAAGTCTCGCTTTCTTTCGTTCACTCTGCCCGGCACTTGCACTTTTGGTCGTAAAGACCCACCGACTACCAATGGCCCTTTTACCCGGGGGTAATTTACACAACGTCCACGTCTTGTTCTTGTTGAGTGCGTTGATTTCCTCCTTCACTGCTTCCATCCACTCGTTCCTGTCGTCCCTTGAGTCGATCTCGCTGTAATTCACTGGAACACCCGATACATAGGCTTCCGCGTTGAAGGCCAGCACCACATAATTTGGTTTAGGCTTGTTGTTTGTCCTCGCGCTCGTACGACGTTGGACTGCCGCTTGCTCTCGAATTCCTCCAGGCCTCTCTTCCAGACGTTTTTGACCTTGAGTTGGTATTCCGTCGTCGTCGTCGTCGTCATCGTCATCGTTGTCGCTTGCGATCTCGAACACCTCCGAGTCACCTTCCGAAATTTCAATGACATCGTCATCCTTTTCGACTTCATTTTTCGACGTTGGCAACCAGTATTCCGATTCGGTACAGTCCAATTTGAATCTATTCTCGTCGAATTTTATGTCGCGACCGTATTCTACTTTGTTTTCTCGTAGATTCCATAGTTTGTAACCGTTTGTTACATAGCCTAGCAATTTACAAAGTACAGTTCTTGCCTCGAACTTGCCGTGAATTAATGCTTGAGGAAGTCGCAGATGTGCGATACACCCAAAAACTCTTAATTTCTGTAAATCTGGCTTATTCCCGTACCACAGTGTTGCCGGTATTCCTCCTTTCAGTGCACATGTCGGGCTCCGATTTATTAGATACGCCGACGTCCTTATTGCGTCTGACCAGAATCTTTTATCCATACTGGCAGTAATCAGGAGACATCGAGCTCGATCACACAGAGTTCGATTTAGCCTTTCAGCCACCCCGTTTTGTTGTGGTGTGTACCGAATTGTCAACTCGTACAAAATTCCGTTCATGTCAAAATATCTCTTCATTTTATTCGAGAGATACTCGCGTCCGTTGTCACATCGAAACCTGCTAATTTTACAGTTAAATTTGGCAGTTGCCATTGCCTCGTAAACTTTGAGATAATGAAATGCCTCCGCCTTTGTCTTAAGCAGGTACACTGCTGCGAAATGCATATGATCGTCCGTGAAGGTCATCACGTAGCGGAATCCGTCGTATGATTCCTTCATCGGTCCCATCAAGTCGCTGTGAATTAATTCCAATGGTCTCGTGGCCCTTTTCCGCGAATGGTTATGCGGCAACTTCGTTAGTTTTCCCTCAGCACACACCTGACAGACACTTGGAGGTGTTTCCTTGGAATTTAATTCCAATCCGTTGACCATCGCTGGCAGTTTCTTTAGGCTTTTATAGCTTAAGTGACCGAGCCGCCGATGCCACGTTTCCACACACTCCGTAATTAACACCGTCTCCGTGTGCAAGTTTAACACATATAAATTCCTATTCGAGATTGATGCAACCGCTACCACTTTTTCGTGTTTTTCTATTGTTCCTTTTCCGTCTTCAAACTTTACTCGATATCCACCTTTCTCGAGTCTCCTTACAGATAGTAAATTATGTTCCAAGCCGGGTACGATTAAAACGTTTTTAATAGTTATCATGTTCTTCCGTCCGTTCACTGAGCAGCAAACCAGGATTTCCCCGCACTTCTCCGCTTGAAGCGTGGCTCCAGTCTTAGCGAGTTTTATCAACACAGGGTGCTTTAGTGGTTTTACATTTTTCAGTGGTAAATTCTCGTTCCCAAGATGCTCCGTGGCACCTGAATCCAGAGCCCAATCTTCTGTGGTTCCACCCGCACCTGCCTGAAAACAAGAACCCGCACAACCGTTCCTTTTGTCCTTTTTAGAGATAATCGCCGCGTTAGCCGACCGCGTTTTTCCGCACACATCGTGATTCCGACCATCCGAGTGAGCAAAGAAACACATTTCCGAGCAATTGTCCTCGTCATGATCACACGAGCTGACCGCCGCGTTTGCCGCTTTCGAATTTGCGTGCTTTTGACGCTTCTTACATTCCGCACGCACATGTCCGTAATTTCCGCACTTATGACACTGTATTTTAGCCTTATTTCCTCCGCCTTTCGACGACCTCGAAACCGAAGATCCTTTCTGCGCCGAGAATGCATTCGCAGGTTCCACTGAATGCTTCTTTTTCCCTCGATCCGTGCGTTTTGCTTCCTCGTCGAGCAGACGAGCCTTAACGAAAGCAATCGTTAATTTGGTAAATGTGCATAAAAAGACCCCA